CAAAAAAAGACTAACCTGCCAGTGAATGAAATATATTTAGAGTCTACCATCAATTATGAATAATGTCTGCCTAACCAGAATAGTCTCAAGAGATGCAAATGGCTATTAAGGAAAAAAAAAGCTTTATAGGATAGGGAAAAAAATAAATGACATTGAGACTAGAAACAAGAGCAAAGCAAAAGTAATAAATTTTGTTTATTTAAAATAATATGCTTTATACTGAAGTAAAATAAAATGGGGCATATAAGATAACTAAGGCAAGAAAAAACAAGTTAGGTGCATTAGAAATGAAAATAATAGGGTCTGAGCAAAAAATAAAATCAACAAGAAAAATATATAAATTATTAAATAAAAGGTTACGGGAAAAAAAATTTGGACAGATCCAAAAAAATAAAGTGGAGCTAGCTCTGAAGAAGATATTAGCCTTTAAGCCCATATAAGATTCATATTGAGATTCTAGGAGTTATGAGGGATACTACAATGAGATAGTTAACATTTTTTTAATAGAATTTTAAGGATTAAGTAGATATCAAATGATTTAAGAATAAATATTTTAGTATGAATAATTGAGATGTTAAAGATTATACCAACTATAAAAAAAATCAAACTCATGGGTCATATAATGAAGCTATGGGAGAGAATAAAGGAGCATAAGCTTTAAAAAAACTATGTTAATTTCGAAGAATCAATTAAGTTTCACACTAGGATGATCTACTATGAAAGAAGATTGTTATGTTAATAGAGAAAAGAAAGGATAATCATGTGTTTTTTGATATTTTGTGAAGGCATGAATTCGAATACCGAGATAGTTAATTTGGCCTTCTTTAAAGCATAAAGGTATGTGGGAAAAATATATTGATCTTATTAAAATATATATGATAGAGCACTAACAAGTATTACTAATTTTGAAGTACCACATGAGTTTTCAGTCCAAGTAGGTTTGCATGAAGAATCAACAATGATTTCATATATTGTTGTATTGATTATGTAAATGTTTAAATAAGTCAAAAATAAAATATCTTCGTATGTGTTTTTTGCAAATGATATGATTCTAATCTATGGGACATCCACTAAAATAACATAAAGTTAAAGAAAAACAGAAAATGTATGGAAGATAAAGAACTTTAGAATAAAGAATGGATAAATGATATGCAAATTTAATGGTTGTAATATTAATAATTATAAAGGGATATTAAAAGAAGAAAAAGTGATGCATATATGTGATAAACTGAAGCAACTTGGATCTATTAAGGAAATTAGGTGAGAATATTTTTTAGAGAGAAAGTTAAATAGTTAAAATGGAAATGTGCTTGAAGAGTATATGATAAAAGAATATCAATAAGACTTAAAGATAAACTTTATAAAATTGCGATTAGATCGGTAATGTTGTATCAATATGAGTGTTGGGCAATCAAAAGATAGCTGATATCTAAGTTAAACATGGTAGAACTGAGAATATTGAGATGAATGTACTATTAATTAAATGAGTTGATAACCAGAAGATTAGGAAGGAGAAGAAGTATACCTAAGATAACATGAATATAAGCTATCTAAAAATTATTTGAAACGAATAAATTTAACACCTCAAGTAGCACTCAACAAGAGTAAAATAGAAAATAAGGATTCATAATAATTATCCCTAAAAATTGGGATAATGCTAATGAAGATGATGAATTCTTCAGAGTTAATTACCTTATGAGTAAATAAATGTACCAAATCAAGCATATAAGTTTTATTCAATTTTAAATAATGAATATATTCAGATTTTAATTAAGGCTTGGTTTTAGCTCAAATTGAATTTTAAATTAAGATTTTTACTCGGGCTCAATTTTAGGTTCAAATGCAAGAATAGATTTGAGTGCAAGCTTTAGTTCATACTCTAGTGTAAATTCCAGTGCAATTTTAGATTAAACAAAACCAGATGTAGGATGTTTTTGCTGTAGTAAATCTTTTTCAATATATAATTTATCATTTAAAGATATTTTATAAACTAAAGCTTCTTCCATAAGATCAAATTTGGCCATAAATTCTAATACTCTAGTAGTGGTACTTTGTTCTTATGAGGCTTTGAGATGCAAATGATTTTTTCTTAGAAATATGAAGCAACCATGTAGCAAGTCCTCATAAAAAAATAATTAGAATTATTCTCAAACCTAAGGCCCTGTAATAAGCCTCATCTATTACCATTGCATTATTGCTGCCTAATTTCATTCCTAAGACCCTTAATAAAATAAAGTTTAATAGCATACTAATCTTTTGGTAAGTAATGCTTAGATATTAAATTTTAGTAAAAAAAAAACATTCAAACACACTAGAGTCACTTCAAGTTGTTTGTCTCTAGAATATAAGATTGGCAAATACTGTTTGTTAAGTTAACATTTCATATGGTACAAGTATATTTTGTTTTAGTAGGAAGACTTCATCTTGTGCAGATCTCCATAGTCTTCATTTAGCAAATTATATATTTTAAAAATCATAAACTATACCTTAAGAAATTTGTTGGTTATCTAAAGAATTTGAAAATATTGCATAATTATACCTCTCATCAAATATAGGAAGATAACTTTAATTTAATCGCAATCAATTTGAAATTGATCATAGGGTTTAGGGTTTCAAAAATAAATCCAACATGTTAGGCAAAAAATAACATAACAAATATTCAATTCATAAGACAATAGTAATCATTTTGTGAAAATTGATTTACAGAAGGAATCAATAAAAAAAAAAACATCTTTGAACTTCTAAGAAAATAAATAAATAAACATAATTAAGGATTGCAAAAAAAAATCAAACAATTGAAGTTTCATACAATCAATAAAAATCTAGGTCATAAAAAATCTAACACATTCTCAACTTCAGTCGATAACAAAAATGTAGAAGAATTAGCAAAAGAAAGATAGAAAAGAAGCCACAAGAAGAAAATAATATTATTATACAAAATAATAGATTGCTTCTCCCAAAAATTTTGAATTCTCACTTAAATATGAAATTGAATCCCAAAAGAAGAATTGTAAATCCAAATAATATCTTTATTTATCACTAAGTGCTCATGTACATGCCTTGAATCCCTATTTCTAATAGCATAATTCAACGAATAGGTACTACCAAAAAAACTCAAGGTAAGGTAGATGTTGCAAATTCCTACCGCAAAAGTTGCTAAAATAATAGCCACACAATTTTCATTAAAAAAAACCAAAATTGCAATCCCTAAATTATCGAAGATCTCATCATAGTTTCTCAATGCAAAAATCAAAGGTCATGTAGATATAATTTAGCAAAAAAAATTCACATATTAAAACAAAGCCTCATTCCCAAGAAGAAGCCATTATAGATTGATGATCCCAACATTTCTTTTTTAGTCTTTTTCTCCTTTAGGGATAATTTAATAATTACTTGCTTCTTTTGTTTTGTGAGTTTTCTAGAAATACCCCATGCTCATTTTGAAAGAGGGGAGTTTTTTTTTGGATTTTGAGAATTAGTTTCATGTTTTCCTGAAAATACGGTGGATTCCCTAATTTGAGGTAAGGTGAGGTGAGGCATACTTGTCAATGGTGAATGACGCACCACGGCGTAAAGTTCCATGTGGACCCATGATGCATAGTGCACAACGCGGCGCTCACCATTTTGAACATGTCGTAAATAAAAAATAATTATAAAGTTGGGTAAGATTTGGTTGAATATATTTGTGGTCTGAAAAGAACATCATTTCTCCTCCTTCACCCCTAACCTCAAACTATTCTGCATTTGTCTGTCAGCAAGTCTACATGCTTGAGTTTACTTGAAATAGCATAGGATGTAGACCTGGAAACTATTTAGAAATAATTGAACATCCTATTAAATCTAGATCTAGCGAATTTGCATAATAAATATCACAACATATAGATGTTTTGCAAAAGAAAAATGTATATATGATTTGAGTGAGAAAATGTTAAACTATTTATTAAAAATGGTTATTATAAATCTACTGTGGATGCAAATATCATATATATTGAATTTTAACTGGTGATAAATTAATAGTTTATCTTAACCATAAACGATTTCATATTAAAACTAAGAAATTACTACTAGAAAACAAGGTCAATATAGTCATGCAATAATTGAGACGAGTTCTAATAAATTTGAAATATCCGAAAAATTTGTTATCACCCAGTTTCTAAATTATATGATTTAATTTTATATCATGAACAATCAACAATCAATATCTTGAATCTGCCTTTCTTCTTGCCTCTTACGCCTAGATTCATATCCAACACATCATCTGCACTATATTTCAGGCAACAATACTAATTTTATATAAGAAGTTAGATGATGAAATTTATTATTTACTTGGTGGATTTTAAAGTATCTTATGCATATGTGGGACGGATGATTACTCATGAATTTCTCAATGAGAAGTATAAGAAATATGCCCAAATATGCTTGACAAATATTAAGAGCTGATTTTTTTCATTATGGGTAGAATTTATTGCAAATTTTCAAAGTCTATAGTCATCAAAAACAAACTATGCATGTAAGATGAAATTTTTATTTAGTTTATTATATTTAATTATTTTTATATTGTAGGAGTTTTTATTTTTAATAAAAGCTTGTATTTATATACCTAAGACATTATCCTGTTATAAGAGTTAGTTTGTAGCGATGACCTAAATTTTTTGGTTTCCCTAGTTTGAATGTTGTGGGCTATTCATGCTATTAATGCTATCTTGGCTTCGCTTTTGTTTTGAAGTGAGGTGGCTTCGATGCTTTCTCTTGGCTTATCTATTATTCGATGATGGAACATATGTTATGCATACAATATTTGGTGTTTACCTACTCCATTTGTTCAATTGTGATATGCAGGATTTATGATCTTTTATGGCCCTACCATATATGGTTTCTATTTCTTTTGCATTAAAATTGTGATTCTTGTGTTTGACTTTCTTGTTTCCCACGCATTGTATCTGCAGTTTTGCTGCGATTGGATTTTATTGTGATGCATTTGACCAACTTCTATTGTGCAGATTTGAGAGTCTTGTAGTTGACTCCATTGATAATCATACTATTGGAAGTTCTTGGTTAGTGACTTATACTGATGAGCCATTTTCCTCGGTGAATATGATTTTCTATAAGGATTTTTTTATATTATTATATTAAGGGCATGAGGCATATAGAAAGCACAATTAATTTTGTTTGAGTAAAATTTTAACTGAATGTGCTATTATTTTTACTTCTTGGTTTCCACTCTTTGATCAAGAGGGAGACTTGAAGACTTCAGGAGAGGCTATTTCTTTATACAAGTGTAAAGCTCGGTTCTTATAAATTTGTTGATATTTTTTCTCTCTGCTTTTATTCCTTGCTTTAAATTTTGTTATTGGATTGATTGTGATTGCTTTTATTTAAGTTTGATAATTTTGTTTTTAAATGAGGACATGGATTTCTATTCCTAGTGTCACTTTCTTGTTTATGATTTTCTATTCTTTATTTCTAGTAGGCCATTACATTTTCAGCTAAATTATTTCTTTATATTTTCTGTTTTCATTGAAAAGAATATGTAGTTGCATTGAAAGGAATGACTTGTTGCTAAACATTAAGAGTTTTTGAAAGATGAATTTTTGTTTTTTGAAAGATATTTCCTAAACCCTAAAACGTCCTAGTTCCCTGGCAGCCAATTTTTGGAAAGAAGGCTCTTGACGTTTTGTAGATATTGTTCTATTAGAATGCTCAGAACTTCTCTCATATCATCTTTCTTTTTTAAACACTTTGATCTGGTTCCTTTTTCTAGTTCTCTAGTTCAATTTATTGTTAATGCTTATGTTCTGATGACCAGGTAGAAAGAACTTTTTTTAAAGACTTCAAGCTCAGCTTGTATTATTTTCGAATTCAGACATAATTATGCACATCAATTTTGTTTTTTAAACAAATATGATAACATATTTAAATAACGCTATAGTTTCCAAACGTGAGTATATGCATGACATAGCTGACCTAGAGCCACATATGCTCTAAATGATGCTAATCATTCTAGTTGTTCTGTAGGAGGTTTTTTTAATAACTTGCTATTATGCAATTTATAATTGTTATATTAATAAAAATATTTTGATTTATTTTCTAGTTATAATTTCTATGCTAACTTTTATTCTGAATTGAAAACTGATCAATCATTTCTCTTGTATTGTATTACTCGTGGCCATTGAGAATTTTAATTTCCCTTTGGCACTTATGTAGGAAACCTGTGTCATTTGCTGCTATTATGAGTTAAGTTGTACTTATACATAGAGTAGATATGCTTATACTAGGATTTTGATGTTTATGCAGTGCCTTCTGCAACCATGCTGACATTGAAGCTTTCACAGAAGAGAAGAAGAAATCCTTACTAATTAAGCGTCAGGGAAAAGGGGCTGATTTTGTTCGTGCTGTTGAGGAGATAATTGATGTCTATGAATCTTTGAAGAAGCAAAATCTTGCTAGGGCTATTTCTAATGATGGAGAGGATGAAGACAATGTATCAGACCAAGTGCATTTGGAAGATTCCAGAATAGATTGTTTTGGAAAACCTGTGGAGCCTAGCTTGAGTCCATCTCCCAACCACGAGTTAGAAAGTGCATCTGTAACTCAATGTGGTGATAAGGTAAATGTGGATGATAATCCTGGAACCTTACTAAATTGTGGAAATCATTACAAAACTGCAGTAGTTGATGATTCAGCTAAAAAAAAATCTATCCTTGATGAACTCAGACAAATTCCACTGTCTAGTATGCCTACAACTAGAAAGAGGGCAAGGGACTCACTCATACCAAGCTCTGTTACCAAAAGTGCCCCTTCACGTAGAAGGTCTAGAAGTTCTTTAGCGAATAACCCTTGTGAATCCCAGAAATCATCTACGAAGCTTGATGCTAAACTTAAGGTTGGATGCTCAGCTTCCAGTATGCTGCAGGAAGAACCTACACCAAAAGAACAAGTAGTGGTTAGAGAACATCTTGAAACTTGCAGTGCTGAGGCTTCACCTGACTCCACTAGAGCGCCACTTGATGATAATTTGGCAGTTAATACTGATGGCACAAATTTAGGTGATGTAAATGTACTAGAATTTAGTGGAAAGCTTGAATGTTCTGATAATGATACAGTTTCAAACACAGTTGCAGAGGGAGATGCTAGGCTAAGTAGTAAAGTTGAGATCCCTTTGAACACTCTGGAGTTTAAGGCAAGGAGAAAATATTACAGAAAACAAGTTTCCAGTGCTAGAGCATGTGATGAAATGGACAAAAAAATGGACGACTTGCAGGCTGAGGGTGGAAGCCTTTCTCACTCTACAAATTCTCAAAATGGTGCAACTGAAAAATTTAGTAATGCAAATGGAGATGAACACCTTCCTCTGGTGAAAAGGGCAAGGGTCCGAATGGGAAAACCATCTATGGAGGAGGAAAATTTGAAAGAATGTGTGGGATCCAAAGTGAAATTAGGCAATCTTGATACTTCAAATGGACATTATGGGAGCAACTCATTCTCCAGTCCTGTAAAAAATTGCCCTCTACAAAATGGCTCTTCTAAAAGGAGCTCACCTGTTGCAATGGAATTTGCAAGGTTTTCAACGAATGGCTCTTCTCATAATAACACTGGAAGTGATCTACTGTCATGCAAGCGGAACAAACATCATCTGATGTTGGATGTTGAGGCAGCTCTGCCTCCATCAAAGCGCTTGCATCGTGCTTTGGAGGCTATGTCTGCCAATGCAGCTGAAGCTGCAATTGATTGTCCACAAGCCCCAATTAAAACAGAAATAAAATCTAGTGACTGCTTGAGTTCTTCAACAGAGAATGCTCATAGTGGTGATGCGAGTGTTAGGTTCCCCGTGAAAACACTGCCTATGCAGACTTCTTGTGCAGCTGCATTTGACAGCAGTATATGCGGTTTATCCTCAAGTTCAACATCACAGAACCTGGTAGCCTGCCGTTTAACTTCATCAGAAGCAAAACATGATGATATTAATCCTGGAAAGGTGTTGAACCCCCTTGAGACTAGTTCTTTGGAAATTGGGACGGGAAGTTGTTATCATAGTCCCTTTTCTTCAAAGATTACTAGTACCGTACAGTCTTCTTCTTTGGAGTTGGTTGAAAAGCACTGCAGTGAACATGGACCCAATAATTCATTTTCATCTGCAGTGGAAGAGAATGATAGGTCTCAGCTGGATAAAGAGTGTACTTACTCTGAAGTTGCAAGGGTTTCACCTCAGGCAAATAACACTTGCAATTCACAACAACTAACTTGTTTATCACCATCAAGTGGAGCTGCTACAGCTGTATCAATCACAACTACTATGTGCACAGCAAGTGAAATTGATGGTACTGCTGCAGGTTCAGACATTGTAAATGTTGACTCAGCAAGTGATATGAATGGAATCCCTTCAGTTTCGTCTGCCACAAACGTCTCATCAGCGACAACTATTTGCTCCTTGCCCAGTGATTTGGATGGAGCTGCTGCAGCTTCGGTAACCACTAATTTTAGTTCTTCGGTAAATTGCACTTCTATGGCCACACTTTCAAGTTCCCAATTTGAACAAACTTCCCGAGGTAGAGACATGTAAGGTTTTATCCTCTCCTTTGCTTATTCCTTTCTAAATCATCTTGGTAAGTCGATGATTTTAATGCTTAAAAGTGGAAACATTTTGCTTAAAAACTTTTGCCTGGCTTATGATGTGCACTACGATATTATTGATGTTTCTCAGATCATGCATATCATCAATTGGTATTATAACTCTCCATGCCGGAAAGGAAAATAAATGAAAACTATAAGAAGATGATTGAATTGTTTAGAGATCTTCATACCGGGGTGTCTTGGTGCTTAAAGTCAACATGAGCGTATTAGTCGTGTAGTTGCCTTTAGGAATCTTCTCAATTTTTAGCTGGCATGGAATGTGTTAGTTTGCTGACAACATATCTCTTTTTGATAAAATCCAACCTGAAAATAAACTTGAAATGGCTTGATTTCTGTAATTGACCCAAGGTGCATTATTCATGCATATAATCATTCTCTTACTCAGTTGTTGAACATTTTAGCACAGTTGAATGAATGAGACGACTCATGTGGATCTTCTAAAAAAAAAAAAAAATTGTATAATTGTTTGTAACAACAAAATCACCCTTAATTACAAAACTAATAAACAAATCCTTAAAATATACTACCAAATCCTATATAATCATGTCTCTTCTATCCAAATTATTTGAGAGCTGTAGTTCTGTTTTATTTTAATGATTGGGTGGTAGTAATGTAATTGGAGGCATATGTGCCTTAGTTCTCTGAATAAGGAAGCTTTGGGTATTACCCATAATTTTCCCAAATAAAATTGATGTAAAAAATTATGGCTATAATAGTAGAATTTGAATTAGATGGGATTTACTGATGCATTTTTTGTTTGTTTGATTGTTTGTTTTTTTAAAGGGGACAGCTTTCTTGTGTGTTTTACTGTAAATGAAAAATTATGGCTATAATAGTAGAAATTGAATTAGATGGGGTTACCTGATGCACTTTTTGTTTGTTTGTTTTTTTAATGGGGACAGCTTTCTTGTGTGTTTTAATGTAAATGAAAAATTGTTGTAAAAGTATTTGTTCAATTTTTGATGAGTTTAGGAAGGAAGAGAATATCCATAGCTTGGGAGTTCAATTTATATTTCGAGCTTTCATTTCATTAAGCATTGCTTTAGATATGTTTTTTTGTTTCCATTGTTTATTCTATTAGTCAATGATATAATGTCTGGCATTGATGAACTACCCATTGTGAGGCCTACCTTTTGCCAAGGGTCTACTTGTGCAATTTGGCCAACCTCCTCCACTATGGCAGGTTTTGATGTGGGTGTCATCTATGCCGCTGATCAGAATTCTTTTGCTATGTTTCGCGACTCTTCGAATTGAGGTCAATTTTTATATAATCAGTGAATTGTTTTTTTTTCTTTTTTGAATTGTAGGCAGAATATTACACTAGACGCAAAACAAACTCCGAAGGATAGGAGTATTTTGTCTAAATTGGCTCCGATTAAGGATTTGATAGCTGCCGCACAAGCTAAGCGATTTTTATCTCGGTCTACTTCCATGTGTGATAGTGTTATAGATGGTAAGATTGCTCCTGATGCTGTTGTAAGCCCAACCTTAATAAACAAGGAAGATTCTTCTGGGCGTGGTTCACCTTCAAATCCCATGTTCTACCAAAGACCTGCTTCAGACGATGGGACTTGCCACCTTCAGAATGGCAGTAGAACTCCACTCGATGGTTCTTCTAGGAAAGGGTTTAGCAAATACATGAATCATTCTGAAGCAAATGCAGCACGCAGATGCTTTGAATCTCTGCTATGCACGTTATCAAGAACAAAAGACAGCATTGGTCGAGCAACTCGTCTTGCAATTGACTGTGCAAAATATGGGATTGCTGGAGAGGTGGGATGCACGGTTTCTAAACTCCTTTTCTAACAAAATCTTTTAAAGCTCGCCAATTATATAAAAAATTACTTCTATACAATGTGCTTTTCAATGTTGTTTTTTCCCCTCATGTTTTAGATTTTTTTTTGGTGTATATAGGTTTTTTTACTTGACTAGGTTTATTTCTCACAATACTTAGTCCAATTATTCGAGTACATTTTATTCAGTGGTTACTTGCAAATCCTAATAGTTCTTTGAAAAATGTTGTAATGTATTTTTTTTACATTTAATCTGTATATATTTCTCAGCATCTGACTGCTGGATTGAAAAACTATGGCTTGGATTTTCTTAAATTATTTGAGGTGGAGTCTATGCAGATCCTTCTTATTGATAGAATATAATAATAAATCACACTCTAGACGTCTGAGATGTCACAGATGCATATCTGGTTGAAAGTTTTCATATTGATGTGTGAGCTTGCTTGCATGTTTGACAGCTAGTTTGCATCTTCCTATCAATTTTATGCACATCCATTCTTTTGACGAGCCAAGGGAGCTGGTCTACCTGTTTAATGCATGAAGTCTCCATGCCTTTAGTATGTGGGAGGTTTGATAAACACCATGGGTGGGCATATAGCCCGAAGTATTATTGTGCAGCAAGTTGCCACCCTAGTACTCAATTGTATTGTAGGCAAATTTAATTCACAAAGTTAACCATCATGGGAGTGCAAACAAGCTTTTTTGATATAAATGATGACACTTATCAAATGAAAATATACTTTGTAAGTTTTAGATTGACTGAAATCCTTGAAGGAAAACATGTTAGAATGATACTCATCCGACTCTGCTACTGCCTCTAAATAACCGAATGAAGTCTTGCTTCATATTTGTTTTAATCTGCATCTGATATTATATTTGTAGTACAATGTAGTCCAGGTCTTTGGGTTTTATTCTTTCCTTTTTTGTTCTTGCTACATATATTTAGATTGTCCTAAGTTATATTTCTTCGGAATTCCTTCTTAAAATTCATCATAATTTTCTTCTATGCTATTGATTCCTATCACTGGCCTTCCATCCTGAAAATAATATAATGTGTTTTGTGGACGTACACCCATTTTTATTTTGATCTAAACCATACATTTTAATAAAAAGAAGAAAAGAAACCTTTTGCTTGTTAAGCCCTTCTCAGGATATTATTGAGAAGACTGTTTTGTGTTACGATTGTTTTTGCGTTAAGAACTTTTGTGAAATTTTTTTAGTCGTTTTCTTTGGAAAAGTGGCTATTGTTAATTGGCACTGCTATTAAGAACTACTCAGTTTGGGTTGTTTGCACGTTTAATTTTTCTAAATCACTCAAAGGATTTTCTTATATCATTTTAACTTCCTAATTGAGCTTGTTTTTTTATCTCTTTTGCTGCATGTCTTTTATTTCCTTTGCTGCATGTTTTTGATAATATTTAGGTGATCGACATCCTTCTTCAGTATTTGGAAAAGGAATCAAGCTTGCATCGAAGGGTAGATCTTTTCTTCCTTGTTGATTCGATCACTCAATGTTCTAGATGTCAAAAGGGTATTGAACGTGTTACTAATTGTAACCCTTTTTAATGCCATTTGGTTATTTATTGAAATTTGTACATATTAGCTTGGTTCTTGAATTTTATAGGTGGACCTGGAGATGTCTATCCCTCCCTTGTGCAAGCTGTACTGCCACGTTTGTTATCTGCTGCTGCACCTCCGGGAAATGCTGCATCAGAGAACCGCAGACAATGTCTCAAGGCAAGCATATCTTGCAGTCTTTTTCTTTCTTACATTTGGGAAAACTTGCTTAAAAATATTATTTGTTTTTGAACTATTTATTATATTTTTTTTGTTGAAAGGACAGGTCTTGAGGCTATGGCTTGAGAGGAGGACTCTTCCTGAGTTCACAGTTCGGCACCACATTAGGGAACTTGAATATGGAAATGAAGCTTCATTAAGTATTTCATATTCTAGACGGCCTCCCAGAACAGAAAGGCCTCTTAATGATCCAGTAAGGGAAATGGAGGGAATGCTTGTTGATGAGTATGGAAGGTTTGCTCATGCCCTGTTGTTTCCCTCAAACCTTTAATATATGCTCGTCACAATTTGGTGTTGGTATGAGTATTTTTGTAGCAAACTAAGCATAAAGAGTTCTAGAAATGACATGCAGACACACTTGTCATTTCATCATGGACCTTGTTCTGTGCAGGATATGCAGCATGTACCTGCTGGACAAAATTGGTTGATACCAATGTTGTCTAAAGCATGACACAATGCACAAAGGGATTTCCTTAGCTTTGAAACATGAAGGGTAAACAATGCACATCTTATCTAGTATTAAATTAGTCATAATTATGAAATGATCTATGGCATTTTATATCAAATGTTAAAAAGGAAAATTTTTATTAACTAATTATCAAGTTAAAAACTAAATTGTATACATACGAAGAATAAGTGTGGAAAATTGAGCAAGATTTTTTTCATTTTCTTATATAATTAAATAATTAAAATGAACACAATATTGATAATAAATAAGAAAATATCAAATTATTAAACATCATTAAAAAATCAAGGGAAAGCATTCAACTAAAGATTCTAAATAAAGTTAGTCATAATTCGAAGTACAAATTAGGGCCACAAGAATGTTAAACTAGATCTGACGTCTAAGCATTTATCAAATATTAAGTGCTACAAAAGTTAGCAGAAGAAGTTGAGCACAAACGCAGATATGCAATCAAACATTTATTTATCATTATAGTCTTTCGCTTTATTCTCATCTGCCCTTTATGCAAAAAAATTATTCTTTATTCATGTCTTCATTATATGAATCAACAAACGAACTTTCAGATTCTTCATCCACTTTATCCCAATCAATAATCTCACAATATGATGGTCTGCTTAATTGTTTGTTGATCTGATACTTGAGGGATGTATAATTTTTTAAGGCTGGCTTGATGATTTCTTCTAGATGTTGATAGGAAACACTTGTAGATCTCAAGTATTTCAAACTCTTCCACACACCAAAAGAAAACCAGAAAAAATATTAATTTTATTACAAGAATCAAATAGAATGGAAGAAACAACAAGGCACAAGTGATTCTCTATTTGAGAGGAGGATCGATCTCTCCCAATCTCTAGACGAATCTAGAGCCCAAAACCTAAACCTAAGTGATCCCAAATTCAGCCAGATTCAACATGCCATAACTCTAGGAAAACAAACTATTTAATGCATACAAATCAAAAGGAAATCTCTAAACAGTCCCTACATTCAATTTTACCTCCCAATTCCCTCAAAAAACCTTCCAAAGGCAAGAAAAGAGCAAAATGACGCACATGACCTAAAGGGCTATTAGGTTTGATGTTATTTAAATGTCATTTTTATGAAGCTGTTTTTTTTATTGTCACTTTTATCTTTCAAAGGTTGTGTGCTTGATTTAGTGTTGTTTTATGTAAATAAAATAATGTAATGTAAGTTGTTGGTCTGCACTTCAATATTATCTTAAGTCTCTAGTGCACGTGGGTCCAACTGATGTTTATGCAATTCAGCCTGAGTCCAAACCCCAAGCTTTTCCTATATATTGATCTAATATTTTTTCCTCCATCTTGTTTCACATATTTTTTAAGCATGAGTCTGGATTATGTATTGGCTATGTAATTTAAACCAACAAAAACAGTTGCAGGTGATAGCAAAAGAAACCTTCTAGCTGAGGACAAGAAATCCTCCTTTTTATACACCTCTTCATTCTCTCCTCATCCTACCATAGCATTTATTTGTTTACTCTACTCTTTCCCTTCCGTCTTCTTTCATCTAATCTCTTTGACAAATAGCATCGTTGTGGCCGCTATCTCATCAACTACTGCTTCAAGCTATCCGACATGGAAACTAAAAAGTAATCTCTTAAGAGTGTGCTCTGTCGTATGCAAAACCAGCCTAGGCACCATCTTTAAGATGGGTGCTGATCTTGTCTATTGCTCCCAATTTTTTGGACAAACTCATTCAGTCTGGCCTTAGCATGCTCACCCTGTTCGTGTGTAACATCCACAATTATGACTCGCATTTTCAATGACAATGATGCAAGATGGAGGAGAGCGGACACAAACTATGGTATGGGCATGCAATCCGGATCGAGATGTTATATCATCTAGATGCCACTCAACTCTGACAAACATCTTGATGTCACTGAATTCTACTTCAGAAGCCATCTACAAATTTCATTATTTAATTATTTTAGAGATAAAACGAACAAATGAGTTTTTTTTTTCTTGAGTAAAAGTGTAACTATGCTGCTCTACTTTTAATATACACTTCCATAGTTGTCAGAAGGCCTTCATGTGGTGCACTGTTAGACCGGTCCACTGGACCGGTCCAGCCGGTCCAGGCGGGACCGGTTCACGGACGAAATCTCAAAAACGGTGGAGATTCCGCCTCCTGGCGGAGAACGAGCGGCCCGACCGCTCAAACAGAGCGTTTTAGGAAGGATTTTTGTGGGGTTTCAGAGAGAAATTTGAATGTAGGGACTGTTTAGGGAATTCCTTTTGATTTGTATGCATTAAATAGATGTTTTTCCTAGGGTTTGAGCATCTTGAATTTGGCTGAAATTTGAGAGCACCGAGATTTAGATTTTCTTTGGGCTCTAGCGGTGTCTAGAGATTTGGGAGAGATCGATCCTCCTCTCGAATTGAGGATCAATTGTATCTTTGCTGTTTTCTTCTTCTTCTAGTGAAATACAAGCTTTCCTTTGAGTTTTCTATCAGATTTTCCCTGGATTAGTGTTGTTTTTCTGCTGTCAACAGCAGAAATCTGCTGTTCTCTGTTCTGGACAGCAACATTTTCACTGTTTGTTCACCGATTTGGGTTAGGATTGCTTGCGAACTCAAGTATTACCTTAGGGTTACTTGCGAACTCAAGTATTTCCTATCAACTGGCTTACTGTATTTATTGTGTTCTGGAAATCATATCCATAAGGATGTTAAATCTCTGATTAAAAAATTTAAGAGCATCATTTTACTCAAATATTTACTCCTTCCTGTCCAAGTTCATGCGACAATTTTCAGAATTCAGCGTCGAGGGGGGGGTTTTGAAGGAAGAAGGGAGGAACGTCATCGTCGAGGTGCTGAATTTGAAGGTATTCAACGTCGAGGTGATGATGTTGAAGGGAGGAGAGGTGAGTATGAAGAGGGGTTAGAGTAAATTTGTCGGAGGGAGGACCGCGACCCTTGGGAAGCACCTCCTCTTCGAGGAATGAGAGGTTATGGAGAGTACCGGGGTAACGGAAGGGATCCGAAGGTGAGGAAGTTGAAGATGCCCATCTTTGAGGGTGAAGATGGCCATGGCTGGATATACAAGGTGGAGCGTTACTTTGCTGTCAACGGGTTGACAGATGATGAGAAGCTAACGATGGAAGGATTGTGTCTGGAAGGAAAGGCTTTGGCATGATATCAGTGGCGTGACAGGAGGGAGCCTATCAGGAACTGGAGGGAATTCAAAAACTGCATAATAGAACATTTCCAAAACGACCGGGGAGGAGATTTCTATGAGCAGTTCTTTGCTCTGGTGCAGGAGGGATTAGTAGAAGACTACCGTGAGCGGTTCGAGCACTTGGCTAGTAGGGTAGAGCGATTATCAGATAGCATATTGGAGGGAAACTTCATGAAGGAGTTGAAGACAGAGATTCGAGCGGCAGTTAAAGTTCTGATGCCTAGTGACTTGGAGGCAATAAAGTTGGCACAGCTGGTAGAAAATCATAATAATCTGGAGAAGGGAGCCAGGAGCAGCAGCTTAGGAGGCTCTTACAACACTACAACTACTCTTTTAACACCAAAGGGGCCTGCATCAGTCAACAATAATGAGATCACCAGGGAGAAGCCAGTAGGAGGAGGGAGTGGGGATAACTTGAAGAAGCTCACTGAGACAGAATTACAGGAGAAGAGGGAAAAAGGGCTTTGTTTCAGATGTGACGAGAGGTATACGCCGGGGCACTGGTGTAAGGACCGAACTCTTCAAGTTCTTACTGTTTGTGATGAAGAAGGAATGGAGGGTGTCGTGTTTCCACCTTGCGGACAAGGTGGATCTTTGGGAGGGGAGTATTGTTAGACCGGTCCACTGGACCGGTCCAGCCGATCCCGCCGGCGGGACTGGTCCACGGACGAAATCGCAAAAACGGTGGAGATTCCGCCTCCTGGCGGAGAACGAGCGGCCCGACCGCTCAAACAGAGCTTTTTAGGAAGGATTTTTGAGAGAAATTTGAATGTAGGGACTGTTTAGAGAATTCCTTTTGATTTGTATGCATTAAATAGATGTTTTTCCTAGGGTTTGGGCATCTTGAATTTGGCTGAAATTTGAGAGCACCGAGATTTAGATTTTCTTTGGGCTCTAGCGGCGTCTAGAGATTTGGGAGAGATCGATCCTCCTCTCGAATTGAAGATCAATTGTATCTTTGCTGTTGTCTTCTTTTTCTAGTGATATACAAGCTTTCCTTTGAGTTTTCTATCAGATTTTCCCTGGATTAGTGTTGTTTTTCTGCTGTCAACAGCAGAAATCTGCTGTTTTCTGTTCTGGACAGCAACATTTTCACTGTTTGTTCACCGATTTGGGTTAGGATTGCTTGCGAACTCAAGTATTACCTTAGGGTTACTTGCGAACTCAAGTATTTCCTATCATGCACTCCTCAAGGGCCTTCGTCTATAGTGCCTTCGTCGAGGGTCTTCAACTTTAGTGCCATCACAAGTGTTAAGTAAGTTATTGTTTTTGTTTTCCATAAACCATGTAAACTAAAAAATGTTGTGTCAATCAGATGCACATCAAACTTATAACAACTATTTGGGAATGGTTAGAGATCCTTCGTTTACCACTTGCTTTTTAGGGTTGCTTTTGCACTTAATAGTTTAACTAAATCATTTAGAGATCTTTTGTTCAAGTCATTTATGTCCCCTCATTTGCCCGGTAATTTGGTTCTAATTTGATTTATATAATAAATTAGATATTAAGAAGGCCAAAAGATGTTTGTATAATTAGTCAACCAAAGAGATAAGAGAAGTAATGATTTAGTTGGAGTGAAGTGCATTAAGGATGAAGATCAAAAAGTACTTTTATTAGAAGAAGGTATAGAATAAAGGTGGATGAGATATTTTAATAAGCTTTTCAATGAAGATTGTGAGAATATGTTTGACTTTAGTGGCCTTAGCATCCTAAATGAAAATAAGGATTTTTGTTTTTATTAGCTTATTAGTAAAACCGAAGTTAGAGAGGCTTCAAAGAACGTGAAGCTTGGAAAAGCTATTGGAACTGATGATATTCCAATAGAGATGTGGAAATGCTTAGGAAGTGAAGGAATTTCTTGGCTTATGAAAATTTTCAATATTATTTTGACAACAAAAAAGATGCTAGATGAGTGGAGGAGTGTGTTGATTTTTATTTTTAAGAATAAAGGTGATACATAAGAGTGTGTGAGTTATAAGGAATTAAGTTTATGCGTCATACTTTAAAACGTTGGGAGAGGGTTATTTAGCATAGGTTACGACATGATACTAATGTTTTCTCAAAATCAGTTTGGATTCATACCAAGTTGGTTTACTATGGAAGCTAAACCTTTATTGAGAGGTTTGATGGAGAAGTATGGAGAGAATAAGGAGGCTCTACATATGATATTTATTGATTTAGAGAAAAGTTATGTTAAAATTCCAAGAGGAGTGCTATGAAGAGTTTTAGAAAAGAAAAAGGTTAATAATGCTTATACTCATGTCATTAAGGATATGTATGCAGGAGCTATTACTTGTGTTCAAACACAAGGATGTTTGACCAAGTATTTTCTTATTTCAATTTGATTACATCAAGAATCAGCTTTAAGCTCATATCTCTTTTCTTTGGTCATGGATGTTCTTACTAGACATTTGTAGGAGGATGTACCATTGTGTATGCTTTTTGTTGATGATATTCTTCTTATTGATAATACTAGAGAGGGAGTTGAAGGTTAACTTGAATTATGGAGGTCAACCTTTGAGTTTAAAGATTTTTCATTTAAGTTGATCTAAAACCGAATACATGGAGTGTAATTTTTGTAGTAACAGATCTAATGAGGGGATTGTGACTTTGGGAGATCAAGTTATTAATAAGAGTACACATTTTTTATTTACCGGGACTAATCTCCAGGGTGATAGTGAAATATCGGGCTTGTTGTATGATTGAAAATTACTCCTCATACTTAAGTGAAAATTTTGTAAGATGGTGGTGACACCTACAATGCTTTATGGCACAATGTTGGCCATTAAAGGAGAAGCATACAATTAAGTTAAGTGTTGTAGAGATGACGATGCCTAGGTGGATGAGTGGCTTTACTCTTTGTGATAGAATGCGAAACGAGTGTATATGTGAAAAGATTGGAGTAGCTCAAGTGGCAGATAAGATTAGATAGAGTCTCCTTATAGATGGTTTGGGCATATAAAACGTTGACCTTTTAATGACCGGGTTAGGAGAGTAGATTCTTAGCCGACCCCATGTAGTGGGATAAAGGCTTGAGATGTTGTATTTTATGCAAATCTTGTATTCAGTAGATGTTTCTTCCATGGTTTAATACTCATTTGTACAGTATGATTATGCTACAATTCTCTATTTAACTATTTTGGTTGGTCCTCAGTAATGCCAGTTTTCAACTTCCTCAATTTCTTAATACACGGATTCTAGAAGATGATGAGGGGAGTGCTTCTGATGACAAAGGTTTTGAGGCTGTTACACCGGATAGGAATGCTGAAGTTGACTGTGAAAAGGGAACGACACCATTGTCTGCGGAAAAGCACTGCCATGTATTAGAAGAAGTTGATGGAGAGCTCGAAATGGAGGACGTTGCACCACCTTGTGGACTTGAAGCAAGCCAATCTACATGTCATGTTAAAGGAGCTGAATTGGTGAGCAATTGCAATCACAAATGTGAGCAAAACAATTTATTTTCTTTTGCTCCTCCACTTCCAGAGGATCGGCCACCATCACCTCCTCCACTGCCATCTTCTCCTCCCCCAGTGCCTCAACTTTGTTCTGGGAAAGCTCCTCACCCTTTAGCTGCTTCAACTGCCGTTGATAATACTGATTTTGGTTCCAGTTATGTAAGTTCAATTGGTTGATGAATCTTTACTTTCATTTGTCAGAAGTCTGGAATTCTGCCTCCTGATTTTATAATTCCTGTGATGTTGCATGCAGAATACTCAAAATCAACTTCTGAGACCAATCAGTCAACAACCAAACAGTATGCATTGTAGCTCATCCTTGTCAGAGTCGTCCACCTTCTATTCCCAGGGATATGTAGGCCATCTACAACAGATTCCACAGCTTGCTTGCACTTCTTCAAGCTCATATATCAACCTTGGTGGTTCTCAGCCAGCCGTGCCTGTTGGAAATAATTCTCAGTCCATTGTTAACATACCACCCGGAAATAAGATTTATCATTTGCAGCCACCCCCGCCAGTGGTCTCTAATCAGTTTTCTTACATACAAGCTCAACCTCAGCATAGACCACAAGCTCCGGGGAATCAATCTTCCTACTCAGATAGGTATCATGCGCATGATAATCAAAGAGGTTTCATCCCGATTGATGTTTCTGATAGAAGCGCATTTTATCCATCTGTTCATGCAGGTAACAGGATATCATATGCTGATTATATTTTCCCCATGATTCCATCTATATTCGGCTTCATTCTGCTACTTTATCTTGCAAATGCTGATAGAATCACTTTTGTGCAGGTTCCATTGGATTGACACCAGACAAGGTGGAAGCACCACATGCTCCTTCTGCCTTGTATGGCCCTCAGCTGGATCCATCATCTGCTCCATGTCAAGATTGGTCTTATCTTCCCAGAACATCTGGTTATTCTCTATCTGCTTCAAGACAATCATTAGAAAACCCAGTTTCAGGTGCATTTCATTGGAGCTAACCTTTGGATTTAACTTAGTTTTTTGGTGTAGTTTTACTTGCTTGAGTACGTTGTTCATCTTTTGATTTAACGAGTTCCTGCTCTGCAGCACCAGCCTATTGGAGAGCAAGATGACTACCTTGCATTATCATGGTCTGCTGCTTCATTTTCTTCTTTTTTTTTTTCTTTATTAGAGTAAATGATCAAAATGCGCTCTAAATTTTTTAGGTGTCTATATATTTTTTTTTATTTGTTCAATTTACTTTATTGAGCAAATTTGGATCCTGGTCATACCCTTAATTTTGTTGTTTTTTTTAATGGAAATTGGTTGAAGATTTTCTATAGGGCATTTCATTGTCAATTTCATTAATTTTAGCTAGTACTAAATGGTTATATTGATTCTATAAAATATAAAATGTCTTTCTTATAGAAAGTTTCCCTCCATCTTCAATCCGAAGAAATTTGGTAAATGTATGGAGCTTAAGTTGAAGACAATTTAAAAAAATCTAGCTATCATTTTGATCATTTACAATTTATTTTTTCTATCATGCAAATTCTATTAGCTTATTTCCTTAACTTTTCATACCTTTAACGTGGCAGATTTTGATATTGCCCGGGGCATTTTTCCTGTGGGAAAGTCTTCTTCATCTTCTGCACAAGAGGCAAACTCTGCACCGGATGAAGGAAGAGAGATGCATCCAGCATCACTGTACATATGTATTCTACCCTTATTATGCAAGTGCAAATTAATATCAGTTTTCCTTGAAGCTCTGTATCATTTCTTCCGACTTTCTGGTTGGATAAATATGGAATTTAGATTCAGATTTAGTGAATTGTTCTTACATTTATGCACAGCTATAGTTTGTAGAAGTACTTACTGCAAGAAGAATGGATTTGATAGTTTTTTTTTTTTTTTAATATATATTATATTCTAGTATATCCGGTTATAAAAAAATTCTCATAATGAAAAATGAAAATAAACTTGTAGTCAAATAAAAATGTGATGTTTATTTGGAAAATAAAATTGTGATAAAGTTGCCCAAAATGAAATGACCAAATTTTTGAGCTGTGTACTAGTGGTCAAATGTCACGCTCACTCCTAATCATAAGCATTTTTGAGTGGATGTTTGAGCACATTTGCTCCTACTCTTGTCTATCAAAAGTTATTAATTCTAAACAAAACAAAGTGGATAGGATTTGGACAATCTTAAATTATAATCATCATGATTACGGTGAGCTAACAGGCAAGGTGTAACATTCTTCTAAATATGAATAGGCTCGCTCGCTCATAAAATTTTCTTCTTTTAATTGGTTGACTTAATTGAATATATCTTAGCATAAGTACTAGTGGGCAAGAAATGAACATCAAAATGGGTTTCTACGGTAGATAGAACACCACCAAGGTTATCATCATAATTGTTTAGGCTAGCACATATAGAGAGGAAAGATCTTTATAGTATATGGCTAAGGTTGAAAGGAGTCAAAAGGGGTGGTACATTCAATTGGTGGGTTACATTTCCATTATTTATGAAAACATGTTTGAGATTATAGCTAAACTTTTGTAGATTATATTTTGGCTTCTTATCTAATATTTTTTGCACGGATAATTTGATGGCATTTATTTATATTAGGTCTCATGTTTGAAGACATTAGTGTTGTTTAGATAATACTAAGATAGCATTCATGTCCAATATTTACCATTTTCCTAGAAGAATATATGATGAGTCTAAATGGGAAGGATCTTGCACCAAATATAGTTATCATATCTACCTAATTAAATGGGGATTAGGTATCTAAGATGTTCATAGCTACTGATATGTTTCTACCCCCGCTAACACATAATCATTTATATGATGAAAATCGCAAAAAATAGATCTCATAATAAAAAAAAAGTTTAATTTCATAAACTTTTTGTAGTTTTATTTGAAAAACCTTCTTATGCTTTTTTAATATATATATTTTTAAAATAATTTAACACAAGCAATTGAAAAAAAGAGAGTCTTCAATACTAGTTCAACAGCTCATTGTCATAAACATAAATTAACATTAATCTATTATAGTTTTATTTTTTATAAAATAAATCAAACAATTGACAAAGAAAACTATTTTGTTGGTCGCTTCCTCATAAATATGTCTCTATGGTATTAATGGGCGGTTATGTTTTATTTTTAAATAAGCTTGGATTTATGTGTCTCTCAAATAATAATTTGGGTTAATTATTTACATAGTTTCAAAATAACAAGCAATTATCTTATTTTTTTATTTAAACGTTATTATAGAAAAATTAAAAAAACTTAACAACAATATGGAAAGTAACTATTTCCCCTATAAGGATAATAAATCACAAAGATTTTTATAGATTTAGTGGTTGTTCTTTATTGGGCCCTCATACACTTTGAGATTGGGCATATGAAAGTTGATGGTGTAAACTTGAGTTAGATGTGGTTAAGAGGGCTAAGACAGCAGTGGGTTATGACTTTAGCCAAGAGTTCATTTGATGTAGTAATTATTTAAGGAACTTATATGATGGTGTAACCTTGAGTTAGATGTGGTTAAGAGGGCTTGATGAAGCCTTGAATTCATAGAGAGGGCTAAAGCCCAAGAAGCAAAACATAAGTTTTTGGTGTAGGAGGATGAGGTTGGTGGATAATATAGGTTGTAAGTAGTGCTACAAGGGGATTTTTTTTTTTTTTTTTTTTTTTTTTTTTTTTTTTTTTATGTGGGGGTTTTGAATACTTGAAAAACCTTCAACCTTTTACATCCCGGATTGGGATTGGCATAGACAAATTTTCTAATTTTTTTTAGTTAGACTTGTGATATAAAAAGATAAATTACATAATAAAAACTTACAATCAATAGCACATTATAATTATATTTTTATTACATTACAACTGTAGTTTCTCCATTCGAGTCTTCTTATTTTGAAATCATTGTACAATCACTTTATTATCAATACTATTAAAAAATCCTTTTTGATATAAGCTCTTGAAGTTGCATATCTATAACTTAATAAAATAACTCAATTTTATCATACATGAATGGAAACTGAGATCTTCTTCTCAACAATGTATAAACTTGTAGTTTATTAAATTTTTTTCTCTAAAATTTCAGTCAAAAGAGATTTGGAGATTACATATACATCTCATTGACAAAAAATTAATTGCCTTTGACGGATAATTTAATAGGAAGTGGATTATAATAATTACTTCTAGAAATCTCTAAAACATAATGTAAAATAATTAGAAAAATTAAGAACTTTATTCTTAAAGGTGAAAATTTTTTGTTTTGCTCAAGTCAACACAAAGAACATGAAAGGTTTTCATTGATAATGTTAAAATTATTTAAACTCAAATAAAATGTCATCAATTTTTTTTTTTTAAATTTAATCTTCTTAAGTAGAGATAAAATCTTCTTAAAATCTTGTTAAACAAACAAAGTCCTTGAATTTTAACATTCTCTGAGATGGAAAAAATAATGGTATAGATAACTTTGCTATTCTAATATTTCTTTGATGAGGAGCTCTTAAAATAAATTTATAATACAGAGAAATTTAAAATGTCTATGTATTACAATATTCGAGGAGATATGCAAACTTTTAGAAATCAATAGTTTATTTGGCTGGAATTGTTGCAGGTTTCAAGTTATCGGTAAATTTCTACCTCATCCTAAGTTGCATTAAGGGTTTCTAAAATTTTAATTTTCCAAACTTCTAAAACAAAGGTACGTAGAAAAAGCACGTCAATGCTCAGTACAAGCGTATACAAGTGTGTAGAAGAAGCAAAAAAGCCCGCACATTTGCTATAGTGCTTTCATAGTGAATTGCAACTATGTTCTTGCTACGCTTTCACAGTGTCTTCAATGCACTTTGACAGGACTTTTGCTGCGCTTTCATAGCCCTTTTGCTAATATTTCACTGCTACTTAAATATGATTTCACTGCACTTTGCACATTCAAAACATAGTGAAAGCTTGTGAAAGCTTGTGAAAGCATATTTAAAGTGCATAAAAAGCATAATGAAAAATAGTAAGTGTAGTGAAAGCACAATTGATCTATAGTTATGTCATTTCGCTATGCTTTTGTTGTGCTTTCACTGTGCCTTTACACACTTTAATTAGGCTTTTTCTGCGCTATTGCTAGGCTTTCACTGTAATTTTGTTGGCTTTCACAATGCTTTTCTTGCACTTCTATTGCACTTCTGCTACACTTTCACTGCCATTTTGCTGTGCTTTCCCTACATTTTACTTCACATTATAGATTTGTATAAAGATGAGAAAGAAGCATATGATGCTTATTATAGTTATGCCCGTAATACTAGCTTTAGTGTGCGCAAAGATCATTATAGTTACTGGACAAATTTTATAATGATAAAATCCAAAGACTTTAGCTGTTCAAAAATTGGTTTCAAGAAGAGATTTGATTTGAATTCTCAATTGTAATATTAAAAATTAGAGATTAGAATGGGTTGCCCAACTTTGGTTATGTTTGTAGTTAATGATGTTGGAAACTAGAATAAGAAAAAAATTATTAAATCCCACAATCATGAATTTGCTAAGCCTGAAGATCGACACCTCCTAAAATCATGTTGAAATATTGATGATGAGAAAGCTTTTGTTATGAAATCAATGATAGAAGCAATGATAAGAATCGTTGATACATGTTGACTCATGAAAAATAGCATGAATGCATGAATCACACTTTACAATCGTAGGATTTCATTTCCCTTAAGTTAGATTAAAATTAATCAGATTTCCTCTGAGAGTAGTGTCAGAGTTTAAAGATCTGGGATCCTTACTTCCCATGAGCGCAACCACTCATAGTTAATTTCCCCCTTTATTACGTAAGATAGAAATCTCGATTAAATATGAATAAATTTTAGATATTTTTAGTCTCAATGTGGGGAAAATGGAAGTAAACTTGATTAAGATCCCATGATTTCGTCATCTCAGGTATACCGTAGATTTCAATCTACCAAGACTAACAATCATTGATCGTAGTGCATAGGGAATCTGATTAGCAGCCATGGGTTGCCTCCTCTCAGGGATCCCGAGTAAACTGAAGTGGTTAGGTGTGGCTTTTAGTTTTAATTTTTTTATTTGGGGTTTGAGGTTTATGTCTATTAGAATACCCAAATATTAATTTGGTATGGGATTTATGACTTTGTTTAGAAGTAACTCAAGAGTTTGGTTTAGAGTGGGTCTTATGGCTTCTTTAGGAAGTAGCCTAAATATTTAAATTTGGTTTGGGACTTACGGCTTTCATAGAAAGTAGCCCGAGGATTTAAATTTGAAATGGGGCTTATTGCTCTATTTATGAGTTGCCTAAGGATGGGTCATACAACCTAACTCTACAACAAATTTATCCTAAAATTCAATTATTTGGGTAGGTCTTATGACTTCCCTTAAGAAGTAGCCTAAATAGAAGGTCTTACAACTTAATCCTTTTTAGACTAAGATGCCCATAGGTTTGAATTAGATTATTTGGAATTTAGGATCATTGTTATTTATTTAACAATTTTCTTAAGACATGGGACTTACAACTTCACTTAAAAGTAGCACTCTAGTGGATCTTACAATCTAATCCTATAAAGGATGCTCATAGGTTTAAATTTGATTGTTTGGATTAGATTTATGTTAGGTCTTATGACTTCCCTTAGAAAGTTGCCTGGTTATTTATAGGATTGTTAAGGTCTATATACTTCATTTTAAAAAGTTTTCCTAACGCATGGGACTTACAACTTCACTTAAAAGTGGCTCATTGGTGGGTTTTACAACCTAACCCTATAGGCTAGGATGCCCGGGTGAGGGGTCTAGGTTTGTGTTATCATATAA